TATGTGATAATCCACTGCGCCACCTCGGCTCTCATCTTTGTTGCTCTTCTCTGCACTCTTTCTACAGTCTCAACATCTTTTTTACATCGTGGCGACCAGTATATAAATAAATATACGAGTCTACCCTTTATTTCTTTGCTGGTAAAATATAAATTCAACAGACAGCTTAAAGTTGTCAAGGTTGAGATACACTGGACTGTGTAATCGGTTGGCTCATAAGAAAGGAGCCTGGCTAATGGATTATCACATATATTTTGTGCCATTTAACTGCAGGTCACAGAGACTGACAGCCTTTTCCAAAATGTGTTAATATGACATTTAAGAGCTTTTCAAACACCTTTCTCTTCCCCCTGTGTGAAAGATTCAGATTAAAAACAACAAAGTCAATCTTTCGCCCTATCTGACCTGGCCTTCTGAGAACTTCTGAGTCAAGAAAATCCTTCAGTTCCCCCCACCTGGGGTCCATTTAAGCATTCATTTACCTAATTTTGGACCCATTGGCAAAAACATTATTTCTTTGTCAATGAAAGCCCAAAGGTATTTGGGGGTTGCTCTAAATTCCCACAATTATTTTTTTTTTGCTAGACAGAAAACAGATAATTAGGAAACAGTGCTTCCTGTTTAGCTATTTTTGATTTCAAAGCATCTAGAGATCAGATGCAAAAATCAGTGTATTTTTGCATTCAGGCAAATCTTCTTTAAAGCTGTCACCCTATCACCTTGGGGAGGGGGGAAGGGGGAGAAATCTCCCGTAGAGCTATTTTATTTTGGCGTAATTTGCTTGAATTCAATTACTTGTTGTATCTAGTGATAGAAGTGTGAAAATACGTCACATGGATGTTGCATCAGCAAAACAGCCAGGCGTAATAGAAAAATCAATGCAGCTGACTGATTCGCTAAAAAGCTATTTATTCCAAGATAACTAGCAAAAGAAGAGACAATAATTTATTGCTACCCGAACGGTCACATATCTCCGTAGGCATTAATATTGCAGAGAGAACAACGGGGAAATTGAAGCTAGCAGTTTCAATTGTGCTATATTTTGTGTATGAAGACCAGAAATGGGGAAAATACTGAGATAATGAAAATGGGGTGATAAATATCTTTTCACATTACATTATTGGAATTTAGAATAACTTTGGTTTGAAGCTCTACCAAAATGACATGGAAAGGTGTTTTTGTTTTTTTGTTGGGGTGGACCATAACAAAATAATTAAGATGTTAAAAGTCTAAAAGGCAAATGACTTTAGGTAAAGGTAAAGGTTCCCCTTGCACATAAGTGCTAGTCATTCCTGACTCTAGGGGGCAGTGCTCATCT